TAATTGGGCTCCCGGTAGAAACCTCCTGAACCATGACGACAATGGTGGTGAAGACAACAACTCCCATGATCCCACGCTGCTTCACCACCTCAACAAACTCCCTGTTTTGTTATTGTTTTAAGGAGAGAGAACCCCTAGTGGCAGAAATTATATATTGTACCTATTTAAGAGTAAATAGAGTGAAATACTTCGTAGAAAAAGTAGTTAATTACTTTCCACAGCTGGAATTTATCTAATTATACTGCAATTTAAATGTTTTTGTAAAGCCAAACCGATATTTCTGCTGTTCTTTAACTCTGAACCTGTCACTCAGAGTTAAGACGACTCCGAGCAGCTTCACAAGTTCCTCTTTAGGAAATTGGAACTTTTCCACCCTTCCACTCTGTTCAGTTAACGCAGACCTTAAGTGAGCGGATGGACGCAGTAATGGAAGCCGTCTGCTTTCCCTCAGAGTAAATATTAGAGCACAGCAGCACTCAGGGGGAAACAGTGGCTTTAACACTGTCAGAAAACACAGTGACACACACACACACACACTCTGAGAGGATCTCCATAGTCTTCTATTATCTGCTCTAATTATCAAAGAACATCCTGATACACAACCGCAGTCTCACACCTCCGTTCACTCTCTTGTTAACGTCACTTCATCGACTATCGCAGGTTGTACCGACGTCCTCAGACTGTGTGGCAGTCGGGTTCAGCTGCTGTTTAAGGTCAACAAACATCTTTCATTTCTGCAGGGAATTACCCACAGTTCATAGCATTGTACCGATAAAACGGTTTTTAAGTTTTTAAGCCTGTACGTTTTAAGACAAATGCTGACATACAGTCGCTTGTTTGGGACGACTAAACCTGTTTTAGACTCGAGTTTATGCTAGTTTTTGCTTGTTTACAAACAGGTAGCACACAGAAACTTTTACAGACATGAATGTGCTTCTAGTGTCTGTAAAATCTCCAGTGGACAAAAAACCCAGTAAGGAACAGCTTGGAGTCGGATCGGGAGGGAAACTTGATTGGGACATCCCTCATTTTTAGATCCTAAATTTAAAAAAGGGAACTTCGTCGAGGTGATGAATGTAAAGCTCCAATCTGAACAGGTTAGAGGGGTCACGTGTGGACAGACACATGAACTCAGATCTACTGTAGTGAAACATAAACACGGTACCTTTTGGGCTGGACGAAGAAGCCTGTGGAGCCGCTACAGCCGCCATCATCCACGCAGGTAAAACTCTTCTCCTGCGTACAGACGGAGTGACTTCATCCTCCTCTTCTTCTTCTTTTGACTGGACAGAGTCTCTCTACAAGAACCAGAACAATCCTCAGTTAGTTAGTTAGATATGAATGAAAGTTCAACTGAGGGAATGTGACTCCTGAAAGAGACTCCAGACCGTGAGGCAGAACTTCCCAACCAGTAAACTGACTCAGTGACATATTTTATGGATATTTCATATTATATTAAAACTGTACAATGAA